AATTGTTTATGCATCCTTCACCGAATACTCATTACCAAAACCCTTAGCGCCTGCAGAGATACTACTACTACTACCACTAGTAGTAGTAGTAGTAGTAGTAGTAGTAGTAGAGGTCCGGTAGATACAATCTTATCCCGCATACACTAACAACCAGAATATAATCACAACTCATTGCAGAAAAATCAGCGCTAGCAAGAGAACGGCATTAGCCGACTGGACGTCGGAGCCATCGTGCTGACTTGAAGTAGTAATTAGGGGTTATTGGGGGCTATTCGGGTAATGAGCCTCGCGGGTGAATCCGAGATCGAGTGGACCACCCACCGTCATGTCTAGTCGGCTATAAGCGATATCACCAGCATTGGTTCTATGTTTTGGGGGGTAATTCATTTAACTCATGAACGCTAAATGCTGACTCGTGAGATTTTAGTTTGCCCTTGTCTTATGCAAGGTAGGTGGTCCTACTAACTGAAATCTGCAAGGGACGGGGGCCAATATTCCTGCCACCGACTCGTAGGCGAGGCTGAAAAGATGTATACCAGTGTATAGACCAGAGCAGAGGCTTAGTTGGGGCCATAATTAATCTATCATAGACAGCATGACAGGGATCTGTCAGCACTAAAACATTGCCCTAAAATCCCTGCAGCATGACTCGGCAGTAGTGATAATCGCAGCAGATGTTGGTTGCATGGCCTCGGTGCAAGTGATTCGAGCTATAGCTGCATCAGGTACTATACAGACATAGGCTTGAGCCAATAGAGATGGTTACTGGTTTTGTTAATTCGCGTAGAATCAACGTCCCCAGCGTCATTGCTTATTTCCGCCCTCTTCTGTGGGTGAGATCGGGTTTCTGATATAAATACATAAATGGAATGTGAAGCAAAAGTAATCATCCAGACATCGACATCTCCAAGATACCCAGTCTGAGGACATCCATTCATTGTCTATAAGACACACGTTCATTATCGACACGATACCTATTGTTTATGAGATACCCATCGTCCACCATGTTCGCGTTGCTATTTCTTCTTCTTGGGGTGATCTGCCCTACCCTTGCCCATCCCGTGCCTAGAGCTACTCTGAATAGACTGTATCGCAGAGGTAACTATATTACTCATGTTTCTCTGAGGCTTGGCCGCAATGCTAATTGGTCGATTATAGATATCTCTCCATCTCTTGTGACGGAGTTCACCCGCTTCTCACAGTTCGCAGCTTCGGCCAATTGTCAAGGGAACCATAATAGCTCCTCTACGGGGTCATCAGTCTATTGCGATTCGGGGTATTGCAACACCCTCCGTAAATCAAGTACTCAGATCATTGATGGATTTGAGGAGTAAGTCCCGACATCCCCTTTTGCATGTCAACAGTGGGAGGAAGGCAAAGTATCTAATACATTGGACAATAGGATCAAGCCTGGTGGTACCACCGGATATCTCGCTCTGGACAAAACGAACAAATACATCGTCTTGACCTTCCGCGGGACTGTCTCCGCGGAAAACCGCAATGCTGACTTGGACTTCCAACAACTTGACGTATCGACTATCTGCGAGGGATGTAAAGCACACCATGGTTTCTGGGCAGCCTCAGAGGGCGCTATGGACGTTCTCCTGCCCAAGGTTGAGGAGGCATTGAGAGCGAACCCGGACTATAGGATCGTCCTGACGGGACACAGTCTTGGTGGCGCCCTTGCTACCCTTGGAGCTGTTACCTTGCGAAATGCTGGACATACTGTCGACTTAGTAAGTGATCCCGTCACCAGATAATAAAAGTACGAATGCTAACAAGGATCAGTATTCCTTCGGTGCCCCATCCGTCGGAAACAAGGCGTTCGCAGAGTACATCACCAAGTCAACTGCCGGCAAGAACTATCGCATCACACACAGCAACGACGAAGTACCCAAGGTCCTCTTCCGGTCGTCCCGGCGCTGGCCACTGGATTCCTTGGTCCCTGAGTATAGTCAGTCTTCGCCGGAATACTGGATCACATCGGCGAATCGAGTGTCGGCGACCAAGTCCAGTATTCGGGTGATCGAGGGAGTCAACAATGAAGCTGGTAACTTGGGTACCACGGAAGTCACCATGGACCCTCATGGGTGGTACTTGGGAGATATGAGCGTGTGTGCCCAAACCTGGAAGGATTGGGAGTAAACAAGGTTGTATATCGCATCACTGGGGACTTTTATCAAGTCGGAGTTGGGTATAGCCAGTACGGCGCAACAGGGGCGGATACCATTCTTCTTCTTCTTCTTCTTCTTCTTCTTCTTCTTTTTTTTTTTTTTCTTTTCCTACTTCCTTCATTCTTTTACTTCCTTTTCTTTCTTGTCGCTCCTTTGCACTCTTTTCACTTCTTCCACTCTCTCTTCATTTTGTTCTCCCTTTTATTGATTTTCGTCTTCTTTGTCTTCGTCTTCGGATGTTTTATGTTGTATAATCAGGATGTAAAAAGGCGCATAACCTTTAGCATAAAGACTATGAATGCATGTTCGATACTCTTACAGAGTCGGTGTTTGATAGCAGATTAGATTCGGCGATATTCATCCAGTTTTAAACCCTGTCAGAACGGCGATTCGAGGATCCAATCGGAGACTTACCAGCAGGAAAGTGAGGGGAAGCTGCCCGACCGTAGCCGATCGACAAAACGAACCAAACAGAATAAATATGCTAGTCGTCATCATCTTCGCCTCTTGTGTCTTCCACAGGAACTCTCCATGGTTTCTTTCCACTGGTGTATTTCAAGATGCAGTGAGATCTCTGAGTCGGTGCATCTTGTGGAAACTGTGTTCTGACATGCGTTTAGGGAATCTTCAGCGTACTATAACCTCGGCTCGCATCGGCGTGCCGTGACCACGTCCTCTCCAGAAGCTCAGCTCTGGTTTAACCGCGGATTTCTCTGGGCCTATTCTTTTAACCATGATGAGGCGGTGCGGTGCTTCGAGCGGGCCACTGAACACGATCCAAAATGTGCCATGGCATTCTGGGGGATCGCCTATGCCGTCGGCCCGAACTATAACAAGGCGTGGCACTTCTTCGACATGGCAGACCGTCGGCACACGGTGAAAAAAGCGAACGAAGCGTTAAAACAGGCCACCGAGCTAGCGAGCAACGCCACCCCCGTGGAAAGGGATTTGATCAAAGCACTCACAGCCCGATTCCCACCGTCCGACAATATCCCGTCCGACATGGGGCCGTTGAACCATGCGTATGCAGACGCGATGCGACCTGTATATCACGCCTACAGTAATGACGTGGATGTGGCCGCGTTATTTGGTGATGCACTCATGTGCATTAGCCCTCGGGCGCTATGGGATTTGGATACTGGCAAGCCCACCGGCGACCACACAGTGGAGGCTCAGAAAGTGATCGAATCAGCAATGGCACGGGACGTTGAAGGTCGGGATCATCCGGCCCATTGCCATCTCTATATTCATTTGATGGAAATGTCACCAATGCCGGAGCGAGCATTACCAGCCTCCGACCGACTACGTCGCCTGGTGCCAGATGCTGCGCATATGTTACACATGCCCACGCATATCGATATGGCGGTTGGTGACTATCGCCGCGCGGTCGACTCCAACGAGGAAGCCATAATCGCTGATGACAAGTATTTCAACCGCGACCGTGGATCAGCCCTGTACGTAGCGTATCGGGTACATAACATATGTGCCAAATTGTATGCGGCCTTCATCTCGGGTCGGTTCCAAGAATCGCTCTCGGCTGCGAAGAAGCTCGAACAGATTATCGATATCAACGTGTTAACCAGCACCAGTCCCCCGATGGCGGACTGGACTGAGAGCTTTCTAGGAAACCTGGCCCATGTGTATGTGCGCTTTGGTCGTTGGGAGGATATCTTAAACCTCGAGCTTCCCGCTGATAGCGCCGTGTACTGCGCAACAACGGCCAATATACTTTACGCGCGTGGTGTCGCCTTCAGCGCCCTCGGTCGCATCGCAGAAGCAGAGGCTGCCCAGAAACAGTTTGAGGCGGCGCGTGCGACTGTCCCGCCTTCCCGTCTGAACAGCATCCCGGTTAAAGAGGTCGACGTTCTCAAGGTCGGCTCAGAAATGCTCAGCGGCGAGCTGGAATATCGCAGGGGTAACTACGAGGTCGCGTTTGCCCACCTTCGGAAAGCGATTGAGCTGGAAGATGCGCTCCCCTACTCGGACCCGCCCCCATGGATGCAGCCCGTGCGGCATGCCTTGGGTGGGCTGCTGCTGGAGCAAAACCGTATCGAAGAGGCAGAGCAAGTGTTCCGAGAGGATCTTGGGCTTGCGAAGGATTTCCCTCGTCGCAAGGCCCGACTGAATAATGTCTGGGGCTTACATGGGCTCCATGAGTGTCTGTTGCGCTTGGGCAAGCTCGAAGAAGCTCTCAGCATTCAGGTCCAGCGCGATATCGCCGTCGGTTCCGCCGATGTTCCAATTACCACCTCATGCTTCTGTCGTTTATCCGCAGTCGGAAAAGGGGAGACATGCTGTTCTTCTCATATTTGAGCGTGTTTTTTGATATCCACAAGTTCGTTCCCCTAAAGGCTATTCGCCATCTAACCCATAGCTCAGCACGGCCATTCTACCTATCACGTTTGTAGCTCTATACCTCGCTTTTATAATTTCAAGCTGTTAAAATCAAGCGCGCAAGAATAGTTGACCCACTTCGCATCCAGCTCGTATTTAGTCCCACCAATGGTTCGTGATTGAGCCCAGCCCTCAAACTCAACAATAGCCTAAAATAGTAAAAGACCCCTTTTTATTCTTAGAGAAACTGGGACCGTGACCATGGTTAGATGGCGCTTAATTTCCACCACTGGGTTCTGGCCAAGCCGCAACGATTTTAATTGATGGAGAGGAAGAGATTTCGTGGATAGCCCTAACCCGGTCAAGATTAGCCCAGGGACCCAGCAGGAGAAACATTACCGATTAAGGACGGCAGTTCTCAGAAGAGGTTAAGCATCGGGACTTATAATGAAGCTAGCAAACTTAGTCGCTCACTCCGTAGGCTACAATTTGGGGCTCTAGGCTGCTAGCGGCATTAGAGAGTTCAAGAACCAAATTCAAGGAGTATATAGAAGCTATGTACTATCCTGTCTCGATGTCTACTTCTCTCCTCCAGGGAACTCACTCACGCACTATCCGTCACTCGTTAAAAATTCACCCTCACCGGGTCACCACTCCTTTATTCTACTTTTCCAACAACCAGTCATTCATTTTCACTAAACCCACCAAAATGAAGTCCATCACTCTCCCCATCCTCCTCACCCTCACCGGCCTAGCCGCCGCCCGCACTGATCTCGACGGCTGCACCAAATCCGCCACTGTCAACCAATGGGGCGAAGCCAGCATGATCTGGTACGTGCCCGACACCGGCGAGATCTGTGATTTCCCAGACTGTGGCGGTGGTCGCGCTCCCCCCAAGTATAACCAGCCCGGATGTGCGGCCTATACCGGCACCGAGACCTTGACTCCGAGTTATCTCCCCGGCTGGGGTCCCAACGGCAAGGTTGCGCCGTCAACATCGGCTGTCTCGGCCTCGGCAACGGATGCCGAGTCCTCGGCCACTTCTACTGGGGCCGCTACTTCCGGTACTAAGACCGGCAGTACTTTGATTACTGCTGCGCCTACTTTGTCCACTGGGATTTCGTCTTCGGCCGCTGGTTCTTCTTCCGCTGCTGCTGGTTCTTCTTCCCTTGCGGCGGAAGAGGGTGGTTCGTCGTCGAGCTCTGCCTCGTCTGGTTCGAGTGGCTCTTCGAATACGACGTCGTCGGCGGGTGTGAAGCCGACTGATAATGCGGCTAGTGTGCTGGGCTTGAATGGTGCAGGTGTTCTGGCTTTGGTGGGTGGTTTGGTGGGTATCTTGGCCTTGTAGGGGTTGGGCTTGGGGTAGTTTGCAACGATGATGTCAGAGAATTTTATTCATTATCCACATGGGACATATTCATTTTCTTGTATTACGCATAAATGTAACGAGTACGAGCTTATTATTTAATTCAATGCATTGGACGTTTCAAACCTTGTATACTATGAAGTCTAACTCGGGTGATCGACTGTTGATCGTCATGATCGTCATTATCCACAGCGGATCAACACGACACAGTAACGGAGTATACTATCTCCCTCTCCAAAATTTACTCAGCAGGGCCAAGGATATTCTTTTCATAAACAGTTGTCGTCTTTCCGGTATTCTGGTTTTCAATCTATCGCCAACTATATCAGAACTTTTGTCAAAAACCCTAGCTTTTCTTAGTTGAACTCACTTCATATCTGGGGGTTCTCCTCACTCGCATCAACGTTCCGGCCAGCTTGGGTTCCGGGCTCGGTGAGAACAGACTGGACGGTGCCGATGCTTTCGGAGGTCCTTGAGTCGGGACCTTTGTTTGGGATTGTTAATCTTTCATTCATATATGAGATTCGAGACGAGGATGAGACATACCGCCAACAGGCTTGTAGATAACACTCTGGCCGTTTCTGTATTGAGGCATTTTGGGGGGATTGTACTGGGTTATAGAATGTGATTTTAGATATTGATATCTTGCTTGATTATGGTGGAATTATAGAACTATAACTTCGATCTCCAATTTCTGCGAGCAATTTATATCTGAGATCCCTTCCTATGTTTACAATTAATAACATCGATATTACAAACCCCCTTCGCGACACCACATGTCCGTATATCGTGATAATATGATGCCGACCTTACGTCCCTGTCCAGAATACAAGGAATATATCCGACTGGACAACTCTTATCTTAAAAGAGCGCACACCATCGTTCGATTTTAAGTATAATGCCATCGTGACGTCAAAACTTGTCTGGACTCCATCGATCGCCAACATTCAGAATAACCGTTCCATTCTTCGACACTAGAGCAATTCCCCGGGGAAAGTCGATTCTGAATGTTTATTCGTAGATCTATACACTCTATTCAGGAGGTTGATCTCCGAAAACTACTGAGCTATGTCATGAAGCGAACAATGGCCGATTGAACCCACTACAGCATTCAGAATTCTAGGCCTTTTCGGCAGGGGGAGGTGGAGGGGTTCAGCCTTCGAGTTATCGGATCTCAATTCTGCCCGGTTCGCTTGGGGCTTTTTTTCATGTGAGTCTACGGAGTACTCGGTCGCTTACTTTACAGTAGACGATCTTAAAATAGTTTAGTTGATTATTTATCGGAGTTTAGTAAGTTGATTTGGGTGGATTCGTGGAATTAGTAAATGGTTGGTAATGCTTAGGGGTTCAACCCTTCGGGGACTTTTTCTACTCCGGGTTGATTTATAAGTTTCTTAACATGTGTAATAGTACATGTAAAATTTTATAGAAAAAATGTTAGAAAATAGTGGAAAGGTGGATAAGCTTCTGGTAGTGTTTCTGGAATTTCTGGGGTATCTTGTCGGATTTTAGTTTCATGCCGATAAAAAAAAAATGCAAGCACACATGGAGATATATATGTACAGTATGAGGGCTATCGAACCATCAATACATGTATACGTAGAAGGAACTTGCGCATTGACAGATCATGCTTAGCTTTAGTAATTTCTTAGACAGGAAGCAACGTATTCAAGGCCTTTTCATATTTTCAGATGGTTTTCTAGGATTTTGTTTATAGCTGTTTATGAGTAGTTTCAGGTTCAATCGATTCGGTTGACTCGGTCAAGTTCCTGGCGAGCCGAGGCTTCAAAAGTTGAACCCCCTACGACGTACTTTAGCTCCGAGTTGCAATCGGAGCGGATTGCCAACTGCATCCGAACTGCTGCGGATCGGGGCGGTTTTTGTAGCCAAGTTGAACCCCAATTCTTGGGTTGCTCTCTTTTAAGTCCACTCGGAGGAGGCGTAGCATGATCGACTCAAAATAACCGGAGTCGATTAGATAAATTCATGCATAATACTACAGATTACTCGTCATTTATGACCGCTATGTTAAGATAACAGTCATCCTAATCCTACGTATCGCTCAATTTCCAAAACATATCATCATCGAGCTATAAGAAGCCCGACTCTGAGAAACTAAACCTATAATGCGTATCTCCATTGCTTTTCTCGGCATTATTTATCTATTTACAAATAAAACTAGAAACCGAAAACGCCCCTGTTGATTGTAAACCTTTATCAATATATGTCAAGGAGTCGTAAGCCCTTTATGTGGCGCACGTCCGATCTTATTCTCGCCAGGTTCGCCTCCCTTCATCGTTTGTCGATCGGCTTCTGAAACGACTTCTGGCCGTCCTAATTTGATTTCGCCATCTATGGCTTGTCGATCACCCTCTGACACCGCCGCTTGGCTTCTCTGAGGTGATAGCGACCGAAAGGCGAGCCAAGTACCGCCGATCACGGCGAACATGCTTAAGATAGCTGTATTGCGGGATCTATATGGATATATCAGCTTGAGATACTCAGGATGAGAAAGAGGTGTTGGGTTTAGATGCGTACCTGGTTGCGGGCGATGCGCCCTTTCCAAGAGTAAGATTTGGCATGATGGTGATTTAGAATGCTGGTTATCGGTGAAGTTCGTGAGAAGACTCGTTGAGATAGTATGGCTGTATCTTTGAGAGATATTCTTTCTATCGTGTATTTAACAAGTAGATTGTTTTTTTCTCGAAATATTCTCGAGTCGTCCAGGTATATCTGTAACTGGAGATGACTTCACCCGGGAAGCGTTTCGCCACCCATGACAGAGCAATGACATTCTGACCATCGATGCACTGGCCAACTCTCCCATCTTATGTCTAGATCCAGGGAAAACACAGCCAAAACGTCATAGTGGCTTTAGCTCCAATGACTACTGCCTCATATTCATAGAACTTGTGCGTCCCGGCCCTGAGGAAACTTCGCAGCTGAAGAGAATATTCTTCAATGTACACAATTCTGTTCCTAACCACTTCATTTCAGGGCGGAAATACGCATATAGTGATTAGAAACTCGGGGACTTGTAAATAGAAGGTTAATATGAGAAGATCGAGTTTGGTTCTCAAAGCCTGGCATTTGAGCCAAACGCCGAAGCAAACGCCGAGCAATGTCTGGTGATATCATACTAGATAAAATGAGTGCAGTTGTTTCTCTAGTATACGGGTATACTGGCTGGCATCACCACTTCTCAACCTAAAGCTTTCTATTATTTAATTCTTAGTAAAACAAAACTCGTTCATGTTCAACTCAACACTCAGCTGACTGGATCAACCTCCGGTAAATTAGGCGTTTATTTATATTCTTGAGGCGCGGTCAAAGCTCGCTGGACCAGGGCACGAAGTGCATCACAATTGATGGCGTTATCAGTATCCTTGACCTCCTTGCGAGAGACGGTTGCCTGTCGGGTCTTTGAGTATCTAGTGTCGATGTTCGCATTGTTCGAGGTGTCTATGCGGGTAGTCAGCCTATGCTAAGTGTATAGTTAGCCCTTGGCGATATGTTTTTCCATGTCGGTCACTAACGAACATGGGCGCAAAGTTGCTGAAAAGCGCATCGGTAAATTTGAAGTTCGACTAGATTGCTACAGTCTCGCTTACACACATTGCAAGAAGCTTCATCACTTTGATAGTATCTCTATCAGGTAGGATGCTTAATGGCTCACACGGTGAGGGCGCTTCGAAGGTCTGTGGCACCAAATATAATACACGCTATAAATCCAGTCGAGTCTTGCTTCGAAGACCAAGAAGTGAAAGAGATAAAGAGAAAGGAACGTCAAGTCAAAAGCCATTGACCAGAAGTGACCTTACAGTCTTGGCTTTCCATCAACAAACTGACAAAGGACTCGGTGAAACACTGGATTGAATAATCGCAATCTTGATAGCCCCTAATCCGGGGAATTACACCCGGACAACGAGATCTTAAGGGTGCAGCTTAGATGAGCTTTGAAAACGAAGGGTTCATATATCTCTGTGATAATGGGTCCCAGGAAATGAGTACTTGGCTAAAGTTCTTTGTATAACTTCGAAGAATCCTGGACCTATGTCAATACTCCTGATTGGAATAGCGGATAATCATTTTCATTGCTTGAATTTGATATATGCACTACGATATTCTATTGTAGTTTGTTTTATTGCATCCAAAATTTATCCCATTTGCGATAGCGCTTTATTCCCCCCGTCCCACGTATTGGTTGCACAACATGACAAGACTCAAGTGTCATGGGGAGCATGGAGATGAATTCCTAGGATTTCCGATATCCACTCGAAGCAGGGAATCGACGGGCACCATGCGGAAAGTTGTGACATGGAAGACAAAGAATAAAATTGCAGGATGATAGCTCGGCCATTCCACTAACTACGTACCGGATCGCTCATTGGTGCTCTTTGTGCTCCCTAATTAAACTCGCCGTGGCGCCGTTGGTAACCCTGAGTTTATCAGGACTGGAGAGAGTCACCGAGAGTATAGAGATGCAATTCACAACAGAGCAACTGTGCAATGATTGGGCTGGATACCCAAAGGTCATACTTCTATAAGGCAATTGCCTATTATGATACCGTCAATCTCGGCACGGAGTCGGCACTTCAGAGTGAAGGACAGCCTTTCAGGGATGTGAACCAAGTCATCTTCATCGATTTCCTTCTATTCACATACCAGCTGGCTCTGGTGAATATGGTGTCAACGTTACTCATTATCTAGTAGCTCTTTACCACAGTCTATTGCGTCTTTCCTTCTCGATCGTCGCTCCTTTCCTTTCTATAATCTCATCATCCAACTTGCTCATTATTCTCTCGTTCGATACACTTGAAGAAAAGAGATCCTCACCACTATGAAGTTCCTCAACATATTCTTCCTCTTCTATGCCGCCCTGGTGGCGTCAGTTCCAACCACCAATAGCAAAGCCGAACGTGATATCTCAAACGAATCCCCCGACACTCTACCTATCGTCTGCAGGTGGGACTGGGATTGCCCCCGTCAGCAGCTCTGTTGCAAGGGTCGCTGCCACAGAACAGGAGATTGCAGTCATGTTCCGCCTAAAGTCGAGGTCACCGGCCCTCAGACTTGCACTTGGGCTACTGACTGTCGTCCGGGAGACCTCTGCTGCAACGGTTACTGTCAAAGTGTTTATGACTGCAGACGGGTTCCCCCGAGGCCCCCAGTGAAAGATCCTGTAGACAACGCGAACGATAAGAATATCCCTGAAACCCCGGGCGATGATGAGCCCGCCGTCAACAACTCCAGCAAGTCCCAGCTTGATAAGAGGCGCTATCGCTCGCCAGAAGATAAGCCTGACGACAAGCCTCGTGCTGAGTCCAGTATTCAGGGCCCTCAGACAGAAGCGGCCTGCAAACAGTGGTGGGACTGTGGCGTTAGCGGGGAACATCAATGGATGTGTTGCAATGGAAAATGCCTCAAGTGGTACCCTGGATCGACACCTTGGGTTCGTCCAAAATGCTTGAAGTAGTGAAGATGTCTTTGATGAGTCGCCCGTCAATGATATATCTAAGGGATGTGCTACGAAGTACTTTCATCCAGGACTTTCATGGGGCATGGCTTTCTTTTGCCAGATTGTAAGATCCTAAATCCGTGCGAGCACTGATTATCGACAACGTTCTTTGACTTTAAACCCAACCATGGCTGAATAACTATCTGCGATCTGTTTGGAGGCGGGTTGGGGTGATCAGTTGATTCTCCTCTCTTTAATAAGCTATTTTAATACATTGACTATCTCTCTTGCTGCGTCGTAGACGGCACTGTAGTAGTTGTAAGACTCCTTTGTAGCCAATTTATCTGCGCTATCGACAGAATTGGATCATAACAAGTCGACAGCAATCGAGGTGTCCTCTAGACTAATATCCCAGTAACAAGTACTTCCTCTCCCTCTGTCTTCTCTGTATCTCACAGTACCATTGTTCAATATGATTTCCAATCTCAAGCTTCCTTTCAGACCAGCTCAGCTGCACCAACTTCGAAGACACCATCCAACGTCTACAATTCCATATCATAATCACTATCCTCGTCCTCATCCCGATCCTGTTCATCCTCCCCATAACCTTCCAAGCCAAACGCCTTTGAATTCAACTCCAAAGCATAAGGCTGTACAGAATCCCTGATGGACTCCCCGGTATCAAAATCCTCCGTCATCCTCGCATTCTCCACGATCTCTTCTTCACTTGTCTGCGCATCTCCATACGCCAGAGACCTCGACACAAACGCAAAGAAAGACTTCGTCCCAACCCGCGCATGACACTCCGCCTGCAAGATATGATTCTTCTTCCAATGAATCCGATCCCCCCTCATCTCCAGCGGCGATGAATCCGGACTCGGCTCGGCCGTCTTATCATAGTAGAACTCCTTGCGCATTACCCGGTTCGTGAAGTACTCGTTGGGCGCGAAGTGAAACACAAGCACGTAGTCGAAACCTTCGAGCCACTCGACGCGAATATCGATGAGGGACTTTAGCGGACCAAGGTCGGGCTTTGTGACTAATTTACGGGTTTCGTGCTCATTGCGTAGGGCTGTGAGCCAGAAATCTCGGATAGGGGCAGGGTGGCTTTGGGTGTCGCCCGTCCAGCCGGTTGCGAGCTCCGCACGACGCTGGTAGAAGGATTTATTGTGCTCGTAGTGCTTTTTGCGGGCTTCGTGGATGTCGTGCTCCCACTGGGCGTTGAGTTCGTTTTCTTTCTCGTAGAGGGCTTTTAGGTTGGTTTGGGGGTCGGGGGTTGCCATCTTGGTTTGAGAGTTTTTTTTTAGCTTGTTGGCTTGTAGGGTAGATGGGGTTCTGAGTTCCTAGGCTTGATGTGAGCCTGTTGTGGTGGATGTGATATCCGATGTGTTGTCTGTCTGAGAGGCTGAGTGGTGGTATTGATCAGGTAAAGACCACTGTGCGAAAAGTGGTTGAGACAGTTGGAACACAAGAGTTGAAGAAGGCGGTAAGCATGGATTTTTATAGAATAAACACAATGTTTTTAGTGATCTAATCTTTATTTTCTTTGTGGTTTATACTTGTACAAAGCCATTCTTGTCTGCGGTTTCCTAGAGAGTAACCCTATGTATTCACTGCAACCCACGGAGACAACTCTGCCACGAGTGGACCAACAAAGACACTGTTCTTTTTTTATCATAAATAAAGGAAATAATTGCTTTTTTTTTTCTCGGTGAGTTAGGTGTGCTCTGGTCACGTCACGCCCAGAATGAGTGAATATAGCTCTGGAGGTACGTAGGGATCACACTGCATAACAGGTCTTGATTAACACTTTATTGATCAGAGATATTGACCTTGAAACAATTGTTGTTTTGGAGAATTTGGCATTATCGCTGTGAGCATGCAAGTTCAAATATTGAACAATACAAGTAGCTGTCAAAGATAAATTTAACAACATTCAAGCTTGAATGAGCAGGTGATATGAAGATATCCACAAAGCCCTAACTTGCTTCATTCAACATACCGTGCGCATTGAAGCGCATATAGTCTCCAACGAATCCAATGTATGAATCCCTAGGTTTTTGGTATTCTTCTGTTAAAGTTTATATTTTAATGAAGTAAAACATTAGTAGATATTATGCATACTAATACTCGATACATAGAAACCCCAAGGTAGGATTTCGGCAGTGGTATCAATAGCTTGCCGTAAAAGACTTGCAGCTCTTGATCGAGATCCAGATGGCATTCTGGTGGGTTCTCCATCTTCTCTACAATATCCCAGTGCACCTTCATATAAAACCTACAATGGCGTGGCTATGTAGACAAGAAAAGTGCAAAATATAGTGCGCGGCTGAAAGACTCAGACAATGCATACTGCTGTTGAATGCTGGGGCAGTGCCTCGTTGCTCTATTTTTATCCATTGCACTTTCTGCAGCCTTCAAATATAAAGACAGGGAAGGTTTAAAGATGGGTATTGATCTGCGAGACGTACGTTGATGGCGTTATACGAGGAGAGGTTTAGAAAGAGGTAGATTTAATTCGGTTGAGAGGACTACCATTGTATGATAACTTGGGCTAATCATTTTTCATCTTTTTGTTGATTTCTAAGCTCCTTATATTATATATATTATTTACTTTTGTTGTCATTATGCATGCTAAGAATACAAAGCTCTTAATACTCGGCTTTCTCCTCTTAAGGCTGCCCTAGTTTATCCGTGACTCTGCTGCAACCTTTAGATCAAATCTATAATACACAATTATTATTTGTAAGGGCTATCGTACAGAAACACATAAGCTACCTAGGGACACTCTCTACTTTCTCCCATGGCAAAGAGGACCGTAAGTCTCGCCGGGGAGGCTATCCTGATGCCAGGCCTCACTACCCACACAGGCTGGACAGTAGAAAAGGCTCTCCGGGTCATACTTTTGCTTAATCAAAGACAGACGCTTGTAGTTGGCACCGAAGAAGTCTATAGCCCAGAGAGGATCGTTCCGATCGGCCTAAGAACATATTAGCTGTTGTCAACATTCCAGGAGATGGGAAGAACTCACCTCGTTCATGTAGCTGCCTAGCTTCGGAGTTAGGGCCCTCATCGCTCCGCCCTTCTTGTAAGTAATATCATCCTTGACAGCTTGAGCAGTGGACTCGTCAGCCCAACCCCTGGCTACAACGTTGACCATATATGTCGAGCGCCAGGCTGGATTGACACCAGAGAAGCGGTCTTCTCCATCCGTCAGCACCTTTCCACCACCGACCAGTTCCACGCTGTTAATAGTATACTCCTCCGGAGCCCCAGCAATGGTACCGATCATCTTGCGAAGAAAAGTGCGGTTCTTGGTCAGGGAATCCTTGTCGAACATCCGAGAAGTCAATGCCGAATTGGCCGAGCCAGTGGATTGATGCGCTCCTGACATGGCGTTGTAGTAAGCCGGATACGAGGGGAACTGGAACCACTGGACCGAAACAAAAAGCGAGGTGCCGTTGTACTTCTGCAGCTTCTGCAAAAGAGGTGCAAATGCCACCTCCGCGTACTTGCGAGATTTGCCCATGGCTGCCACGGCATGAACGTACCCAACCGTCGCGTTGCCAAATAGTACCATGGGGCCGTTGACGGACCAGGTGCCGTACCCGGAGAACCCTGCGTCGGAGATGGCTGGATACTCGGTGTGAATATCTGTGACTGCTTCCAGAAGGGCGTCGGTGTTATTTCCTAGTGGCATTATGGCGAGCGATTGGGCCACGACAGGTTTGGAAGGATACGCTTTTACGACTGCAGAGATCACAACGCCGTAGGTGCCACCGCCGCCGCCACGGATCGCGAAATAGAGGTCGGAGTTCTGGCATGCGTTGGCCGTTACGATGGTGCCGTTGGCTAGCATGACTTGCGCTTCGAGGACTTGGTCTGATCCTAGACCGTAGTCACGGCTTGCGGGTGAGTGCCCGCCTCCTTGAATATAGCCACCGATACAACCCACGGTCTGTTTTGTCTCGTTAGATGAGCTGTGCTATTTAGTAGTATATCAATGTGGGAGTAACTTACGGGGTCTCCTCCGCCAACGATGGTCAGGTTACGCTTAAATGCCTCCTGGTAGACGTCCGACCAAACGTAACCACCTGCGATCGTGAACGCAGCGCCGGTCCAGTTTGTGTGCTTACACTGGTCCGATGGCACGTAGTTTTCATGATAGGTAATTCCTTTCTGGATGTACTTGATCCAGATTTGCAGGGCGCCGTAACCCTCAGACCTAGAAGTGGATGAGACAAAGTTAACCTGAATCGTGAGATATCATACTCACTTCCCGAGAATATCGTGGCCGGTGTTCCTGACAACAAGACGGATGTTGTTCTTCTTCGCAAACGCCATCCCGGTGGCTAGTTCTTCCGGCTCTGTCGCATTGATAGTGTACAAAGGCGACTGACCCAAGGTACAGTTTCCAGGTTTCTCTCCAGAGCTGAGATTCACGGGCGGACAATTGTCATCTGTAGGATAGATATATCCTACGGGTGATAAAGACTGCCAAGTTTCATTGGACCATTGTGAATAGACATAAGCGCACTCCTCGTCGTTCTGGTAGGGACCCGGATAACAAGAAATGGCAGGAGGGGTGTTCCTGATCAGTTTCCCGGATACCGACGCGTTGAGTGCATTCCAAGTGTCGAGTGATGGCCAGCATGAGTCTCCAGGTGTCTGCTGCGTGGTTAGTATCAACTGTCCGAGATGCTGTTCCTTTCAAAGACGCACGCATTTACAGGAGCCTCCGGTGTTCGCGTAGGCCAACCCGGTGAGGCCCAATAGTGACCAGAGTGTCGAACGCATGGTCAACTGTTAAAGCAGAGCTACTGTAGGAGATGTTCACGAAGGAGGAACTGAGCTGCGGTCGGGGTTGAATCTAAATACTTCCGCCTATTGGCTACGGATACGAGAGAAGCGACATAACCGACATGATTTGTGCAAGGGTTGTGCATGGGCTCGCAGTGAATCGCTTCTTCGTATGAGAAAGAAGGTCTGATTGGGCAATTCAAGGGTGTTACATTGGTCTAGTCTACTACTTAATTAACATCGACTCACTGCTACCGAGGTCGGAAGATGCCGCATCCCGGATCATACCAGGCGTCTATATTGCATGGCTGACTCTAGTTACTTTACATCTTATTAGACCGATAGTATGGTAGGTTTCGCCTCCTTTCTGCGCTCTTGCAGATATAAGTGTCTTTGATCAGGATTGTATGCATTTATACATGTGAGACACGCTTGTTCGTTGCATACTGTGACAGTCGCGTTTGACGACATCCCACCTCCGAGAGAATCCAGGCAAGACCATTAAATCTTGACAGCATTCAGGCCACGTTGGCTCCACCCAAAGTCCCACATGGTTCAGCGGATATACAGGGGGCGGAGGGACTAATGTTGACGGCCAAGGGTCCGTCCGTGGTCCGTCCCTTCGCTTAGTTTTAGACCCTTCCTCTCCAAATTTAATTTTATTCTGTTAGATTAACAGGCTCAGAGGAATTCTCCGGAGTTGAAAAAGAGAAGAAAATCAAGGGCGCCATGACACTCCAACACACTGACATTGTCCCCAACTCCATGAATGAACCGTTGGCTTGTGCTCACATACTGTTGTGTTGCCTTGTTGTATCCCGTGAGATCCACAACCCTAAGATAGCAGATGCCTCCATCGTGACTCCGAATCACTACAGTAAGAGCTGCACGGCACTTGAGTCCGGAGTACACGGCATAATATCGACGACTAATTGGGGAAGCCTACGTAGAGCGACAGGGATTGTGAAACATTTCGGACAAACTACTTTGCGATGGTAAGATTATAGGAGGTTTAATAAATTATCGGAAAAGCCGGCCCTAAGATGAAAAGCGTGGTCCTTTGCGCCCACAAACGGCCCCCATATCAGCACGGGCCATTTGATGATTTGATGGCCTCCAGAGTTGGACCCGCGGCAGACACTCGGTCTTTTAGTAGCATCTACTGTATCCCAACCAAGTAAATTCGACTCTATGATCCTCTGGTGTTGGAAGGATCCCTGTCCTACATGTGCATGCCCAGCGAAGGATGACGCCAGTGCACCTATTGAAGATTTGAGTAAATTAACATGCATATTCCAAGTCTCCCCAGTCTAAGAGAGCCTTCACCATGCCTTCCACTTTGAACTGGCACTCTTCTATATACTTTTCGCATTTCCCCCACCTAATGACCCCCGTACGACCAGCATGAGCAGTTCAACTGCTCCCCAGGGCGTGGCAACCCACCTGTCCGCCAATGGCCTCATTGGCATCACCTGGGCGGGTGTGGCGCTGGGCGTAGCATTCACCTCGATCCGTGTAGCCATTCGTCTACAGCGCATGAAGCATTTGCTAGCAGACGACTACTTTGTCCTGTTCGCACTGGCTTTACTCATCACAAATGCAGTGCTCCAGACCATCCAAGCGCCGCACCTCTACTACATGACTCTAACCCCCACCGAAAAAGACATCAAATATCATTCCCTGCGCTATGTTCACCTGGAGTTCGTCATCATCGGACTCTTCTGGTCCGTTCTCTGGAGTATCAAGGGCTCCTTCCTGGCCTTATTCTGGATGATCTCAGACGGGCTCCCCAAGTACCGTCGCGCGTGTGCTGCAATTGCCATCTTCACTTTCATAGCGTATGTTGGGTGCTGGCTTGCCTCGGCACTCAACTGCCATCCTCCGTCGGATTACTTCAAATTCGGTATGTTTACGCTTGTCCTACGGAAAATTACGAAAGAGAGACTGATCCATTGAGTCGTCAGGGAAATGTACAAAGCCCGCGGATATCAAAGGCTCCGTTATCTCCATCAGCTACAGTACAGCTGTAGATATCATCACTGACCTGATGAGTACGACTCGCTGAAAAGAAATCCCCACATACTCATTTAGTCCCAAAATTAATAACAACAATCACAGTCATGGGTCTCCCCCTCCGTATCCTCTGGAAGGCGAAAATCACTAGACAACAAAAAATCGGTCTAGGCGTCGTATTCTGCGTCGGTTTCATCATCATCGCAACAGCAATCGTGCGCGCAATCGAAATCACCGGAAGAGCTTACTCGGATCAAGTCGGTCTTGCCATATGGAGTATCGCTGAATCATCTATCTGTACGTCCATTTTTCCCCTTTGTCGCGCAGGAACAATCCAGAAGATACTAATAGAAAATTAGCTGTCATAGTCGGCTGCCTCCCTCCCTTCAAATCATTTATCTCCCGAAACTCGAACACGAACCAGTATCCCTACGGATCAAGCGGATATACAGGGAATCGCTACGACCGGAGTGCGACATCAGCACGGAAGAAGCGGTCTTTGATTACGACGAGCTTGAGCGAGGTGCCCCTGCCACTGGAGGATATGAAATCGTATCGGGATTTGGGGTATGACTCTCATAGACAGAATGTGCATATAACGGGTGGTGTGGATGGTCAGGATAATCTTGGGAATACGTCTTGGTTTAAAATGTCCGACGACGAACCGCGCGGGGAGATCAGGATGGTTAAGGAGTTTGTGAGTCTTGATCCTTTCTCTTTTCTTCTTGTTGTGCGTTTGCTTACTGATGTCTGCAGAGTATGGTTTCTTCAAGATGATATACGTTTCTTTGTGACGAGTATATTGCTCCTAGAATTGCAAACTGTATATAGAACCAATTGCTTGGGTTTGGATGAAAAGAATGGCATATAGACCTTTTCCCCTTTCTCTTGATATGTTCATAGATGCATGTCTAGTCTACAATACTTCCACAACTACGTGGCTCTACAAAAGGTTACTAATGTCTTTCTGAGGCCCTTCCTTGAAGAAACGTAGATCAATTTTCTGGCCAACTTCACCACCAGGCTTCTTAACATCGTTATTCACATAGTCATTGTTATCCATGAAAGAAAAGTAACCATCATCACCAATATCGATCTATCAACTAAGTTAGCACATTGGCACTAACTTGGACCAATGCCTATGAAATAAAGAATGATATAAGAGAGAGAAGTTATTACTCAGTAACGCCACCAATATTTTCAGTGTGTCTATGGCAACACGTCAGCTACCACGGTGGGCTTGCAGTTGCTGTCCAGCTTTTGCCCTATCCTCATTGTTTTTTAATCGTCGGTATTGGCGGCGGCGTACGGAGTACTCTGCAGCAATATATCGTTAGTAGAGAGCCAACGGATGGACAACTTGTGGAAACGTCTTGGTAAAGTGTTGAGCGAAGGCCATTCCAGCGGACAGGGAGAAATACTTATGCTAACTGTCTCACGATTCTCCGAGCGCATTTATCACTATGAAGAAAGTAGTGGAATGTTTGAAGGTCTTGAGTTCAGATTACGATACACCAAATTCATTTGTGGGTGGTGGTAGTGCATGCACTGATATCATACTCTTCGATTCGATACCGTCCATTCTTTAATACAATTACATGGACTAGTGTATAGTGGGGATAGACCAGGCTCTAAAGTGTCGATGAAGATACTTTTGTATATATCTAAAAATCTTTCTGATAGATCTAGAGATCAAGGTCTGATACGATAAAAAAAAAAAAAGCAATCACCTGATGACCTATACCCTAACACCCTGGCGTGTGAAAGGATTAAAATAAATACAAGAACTCTCCTATACTTTGTCTAACTCTTATCAGTCTAAAGATCGAAACTCAGCTACCTCCCGCTGATTCAAAATTTGCTCCTCTGAAAACCAATCCCCATGCATACCGTACGGCACACGCTGCGGTAACAGCACCCTCGCGACAATATCCCTCATGTTGCGAGCATCAATTATCCACAGCTCACTCCGCGAAGTTGCTGGTGCGTTGCCGTTCGAATCAAGCTGGGACTCGTCGAACACGTACGTAACGAGCCAGCCATCATCTTCAGAGGTGCCATCCCTCCGGGGCAAAAATGAGCACTCCTGTGCGTACCATCCATACGGAAGCGCAAACACTTGAATAGGATCATTCACGTCGTTAGTAGCGAGAATCTCATTGATAGATCGTTGGTCAACACATCCAGTTATCTGAGTCGGCGGTTGAACTTCGGCCGCTTGCAATAAGCGCTGGACGTCTATTTTGACAAGACAGTCAATCTTGACGCTGGATTTCTGTCTCGTGGCAAAGTTCCCTTCGCGCATGGAGCATCCGTAGACGAATTGGGCGGCTGTCATCTCCAGATGTCGTGGGACTTGTGGAAACTCGAAAGGAATTGCTGACAGCGCCCATTGCTCGGTTATAGCACTGGATCTATCCGCTGGGAACTGGTAGTAATACAATCGACATTCAGGATTTGGGTGGTTTGCCTCTACTGGTGCGTCTAGGTCTCCCATATGGTACAGAGGAGATGCGCTGTTCATCCGGCAGACAAGCATGTGGACTCGTGTTCCCCAAGGAACACTTTCATCCCAGCTGTTCACCGTATGAAAAATGCAACAAGAATCTGTTTCATACCATTGAATCCGAGCAGGACAGTACCTAGGGAAGACCCCAAAACGGGTGCGACCGTGTGGATCATACCGTATGGCAGGCTTGTTGCGGGTTATATTTGTTGGATCCATAGAAATAGGAATATCTAGCATAATGGTGTGCTTGCGCGACACTCCAAAATCATGTATCATTTTTCCGGATGTGAAACCAGGAACAGGCTGATTGAGGTACGACCCATGCTTGCCGTTCCATCCAGGTGATATGATACTGTAGTGTACAAACGGGAAGATAAATGTCGAATGGAAGAGCAGTAACTCGCCCGTCTGGTAATCACAGTGAGGCTGGTATCTTAGAGTTAGTGTCCGATGGTAATAATAATAAGATGGAGACGTACATGAGCTGTCGTCATCTCGTTATGGAATCTTTCTATTCCAGGACCACTGATAGATGGTTCCATGATCTGATCAGTGGCCTCTCCCTCGGCGCTACTCCCTGTGAACCATCCTACTGTATTTAGAGACGGAAGGTAGACTCTCATCGGTGGACCAGTCTCCATGGTTGCCAACGCTCTTCCATCATGATAGAGAATGTTAGTGTTGGCCGTGCTGATTCTCCGGATTGGGCGGTCCACGAAGCCGAGAAAGGATGAAAGCATCAGTGCCATGGTCCGTAGCATGCCCATAAATACTTTCAGCGGAGAGACCATAGGACTGAGTAGCGTGGTAGCGCTTGAGAGAATCGGACTGATATGTGGATACTCCGCTGTGGCGCAGTGCACATCCGTCAGGATATACCGATTCGAATACAACGGCTGCTGCACCTTCGATCCAGGCATGCGCTTGAAGAACACACCAGAGAGCATGCCGTCACCATCAAACCAGTGCAGGTCGCGACTATCATCATCCTGGAGAGAATTGCTACCGTTGCGGACATATTGTCCTCCAAGGAATTCCTCAGGAAGTGTGCCCTGAACCTCGCAAGGATGCGCATGCTGAACAGTGTAGATGGGGGCATAGTTTCCGGAGAAATAACTATAATAGAGATGAGTTAGTAAACATTTCTCTTCTTCATATGACTCGTACATACGGATGTTTGCGGCTGTTTTCTTTACCAGTCATGTTGTCAGCTCTGACATAGGGTAATGTGCCGCCAGCCTAGGTACGAATCCGACTGGTAGCCACAACGTGCGACCAGCGAGCTGAATATTTAAGGCAAAATGCATTTTCCGATCATTATATCGTGGTCATGGTCATGGTCGTTTTAGGGCATATGAAATCATAATTATATAAAGGCCTGTTTTTGTACAACGCAACTGGTAAAGAGCTTGGCACGGCTGAACTCTCTTGTCTTTCGGGTTTGCTCGATCACCCAACTTGCCCTTGCTGGGCGAATACCTCATGACTTCACTATTGATCGGTTAGCTTGGACTCCTGTGGGGAAACTAAGTATGTAACCGGCTATAGTCTACTGCAAGGGGCGAATCGCTGACTCGCAAATGTGTTGTCTTGTCGAGAGAGCATGCTATAAATCAGGAATGTCCGAAGCACTTCCCACAAACCTACTCTGAACGTCGACTGGAAATTGCCAAATCACGATCAATTCCATCTAAGCCATGGGGTTCGACTATGTTCTGGTGTGAGTATGCCCTTGTCACTTTTTATCCTGGAATTGCTGACCTTTCAGATATGTCACCTACAACATCCCCTTAGCGGGGCTCCTGACACTTGTTTACTGGCCATTCATGACTCGTCTAGACTGGCAAAAGATTTCCACCCTCGTCATTGTAGGTAAAGTGTTTCTGTAAACAGGAATAGGGGGCTTACTGTTGAGCTAGATATCCCTCGTCGCTACCATTCCTTGGGATTCGTACTTGGTGCGTCATCGCATCTGGACGTACACCCCAAATGGGGTCACAGGCTGGACCCTATACGATATCCCTTTAGAAGAAGTGTTTTTCTTTATTATTCAAACATATAACACTAGCTTGGTATATTTAATCCTAACTCGGCGGCTTGTGCTACCGACCTATTTGGGTGCTGTCGCGCGAAAGAAGACTCTCACTGGAGCTTTGATACTTTTACTTGTCATTGTGATTGGGCTTATCACATTGTACTTTGGAGAACATTTCACTTATCTTGGTCTAATTATCACATGGGCTGGTCCATTTCTTCTGATACAATGGTAAGTGCTCATGCATCGCGAACTGCTCATATCTGACACCGGTCTCAGGCTATTCTCGTCTGGCTTCGTTATGGCATTTCCCAAGATGGAGCTCCTGGCAGCCGTTGCACTTCCTACTCTGTTTCTGTGGATAGTGGACACAATTTTCATCAACCAAGGAACATGGACTGTTGAAGCGCCGACCAAACTAGGCATTCAGTTGTGGAGGGGTATGGACATAGAGTAAGCCATACCCACGTTGATGACTGGCATCAGAACATACTGACCTAGCTAGGGAGGTACTCTTCTTCCTCATTACCAATATAATGATCGTTTTCGGTTTAGTATGTATCGATTATGCTATCGCAATGGCAACTTGTGAAATAGCGCAATCACCAAAAGCAGTCCAAAGGTTCCCGTCCTACTTCCGGGTCTTAGCACAATTTGTGACCAACAAATACCATCCAGACAAACGATTCGTGACCAATCTGGAAATGGCAGTTGAGCGTCTTGTAGCCTCCAGCCAGAGCATGTATATGGGAAGTGCCATGTTCCAAGGACCGCTACGGATTGATCTAATCTTGCTGTGAGTAACTGCATACTCCTAGGTTAACTTCAAATGACATGTTAATAAGTGCCGTATGCAGATACTCTTTCTTCCGAGTAGCAGACGACCTAGTCGACGAAGCGCAGGACACCGAAAGCGCACGCAGAGTAATCGAGCAATGCGACCAACTCCTCGAAGCCAAATTCTCGCACCCAGACCTGTTTCCTTTTTCACCTAGCTCCAAAGAGGCCAAGCATCCTGCACCTCCAGAGCTCATCGCAGCGATTGGCAATCTCCCCACCTCCCGATTGCGGCTTGAGCATCTAAAAGGTCTCCTCGAGGGCTTCCGGACGGATCTATCCTTCAGCGCGAAATCTGGATCCTTTCCTTTCGTGACAGAATCTGATCTTGACACTTATTCTTATCACGTCGCTAGCACCGTAGCGGCATCCATGTTGGCTTTAGTTGTTCATCATTTTCCGGATCATCAGTTTGCGGTCAACGTTTTTCTTCGTCGGCGTGTTGTAGATGCAGGTGAAAGGATGGCCCAAGCTCTTCAATATACTAACGTGGCCCGTGATATTGCTCGTGATGCTGCCATTAACCGGGTGTATTTACCCACGACGTGGCTGGAGCAACAAGGGCTGGGTCCTGCGGATGTGCTTGCCTCCCCTACAGATTTTCGGCTGGAGTTAGTGCGGGATAGAGTACTTGATAGGGCGGACTTTCTCAGTACTTCAGCTCGGGATGAGATCAAATTTCTGCCCAAGGAGGCTCAAGGGCCGTTTCTTGCGACCGTTGATAGTTACCTGGAGATAGGGGTAGCTTTGAGACGGGGTATGAGGCCGAGAACCCTCGGGGACAAGCTAAGGCTTCCAAGTGGAACACGCTTGTGGGTTGTTTATCGGGCTATGGCCCTGAGACAGTAGTATGGACTACCTTTTCGACTAATATTTCAGCGTATGAGCTTGGATATGGCATCTAAAGGGGTATCTTGTCTGTAATGTTTGATTCAAGTCCTTGAGTTGTGTTGTCATTGTCATCTTCGTCGTATGCCTAATTCTGCTTCCACAGAAGGGAAACCACCAGTACCGATAGAGCCATCACTACTGTCAATATCAACCCAATTCGAGATTTCTGCCTGATTTCCCTACTCCAATCCTCCACTATTTGCTGAGCGACGAGCTTACTCCCCGCCAGGCAAACAGGAACCCCTGTGCCCGGATGCGTGCTGGCTCCAACAAAATAAAGCCGCTCAATATCCGGATGCTTGGTCCGCGGCCGAAAACAGAGCACATTAAAGAACGAGTGTGATAGACCCAAGATCGCACCACGGTCGAGATTGAACTTTCGTTCCCAGGTAAGCGGTGTCTCAACCATTTCATGGACCAGCCTAGACCGCAAGCCTTGTAGCCCCGTCTGAGCCTGTATAGTGTCCAAGACAATTTCACGTGTTTGAGATACTAGAGTATCCCATCTCTGTTCTTCGAGTTGTCCTCCATTTACCGATGTCAAATGGCCCACTGGGACTAACACGACAACGGCCTCTTTACCAGGTGGTGCTGCAGTTGGGTCGACCTTACTCGGTACATTAACATAGAATGATGGCTCGTCTGGAATACGGTGCTCGTCGAAAATGGCATCAAAGCTTTCCCGGTACTTTTCAGCTAGGAAGATATTGTGTGCTCGTAAATGAGGTAATTCCTCGTCGAAAGACCAGAAGAATGAGATACTACTGCACGACGCGGGTCTCTTTTTCAGGCCGCGCGACCGGCGTGTCTTTGGAAGGAGTTCGTTATATGCGTAGACAAGATCGGCGTTTATGACGACTAATTCAGCATGGATTTCTTCGCCATTTTCCAAAAGGATGCCTTTTGCAACGTGATCGCTGTCATCGAGTAGGACCGACTTGACGGGACTGTTCAAAATGTATTCGGCTCCAGATCGCTGTCCGATATCTGCTAGAGCTCTCAGGACCTTTGTTTATTCTAAAATTAGCGAGTGAATGTATTGACTTGATGGGGTTTTCCCTACAGCGTACCGTTTCGAATCCGCCCTCTGGGTACCATATCCCATCCACTGTCTCGATATATTGTAGCAGCGAATATGTGCCCGGAGCCCGATAAGGACTCATTCCCAGATACATACTACCAAAAGTCCAGACACATCGCATTTCCTCTGAATAGAAATACCGCGCAGCTCGAGAGTATGTGCTCGTCCATGGATGCATGGAGATTAGTGCCTTCAGTAAATCCCATCGCAGCAAACTCAGCAACCGAGGAAAGTTCTTCCGCAGCACATGCGCAAGTGACAGGTTATAATGAGTACCGGCCTCATTCAAGAAGGCACAGAAACGGGGAAACCCATCGGGGCCTTCGTAGTTTTGAATTTGCGTCTTCAGGTGTGTTAGATCAGTCGATAGCTCTATAATATCCCTGTCAGGGAACCAAACACAATAGTTTGGTTCGCATTTTACTAGACGGACATTTTCTTGCTCTAGTGAGGTACCGAGATCCTGGAAGGTCTCTTCGAAGATCTCACGCATTAAAAGCAATGATGGGCCTTGGTCGAAGCGCTAGGTAACGTTAGTTACATTATTTCGGTTCAGGGCGAGACACACAAAGCCATCTTTCGAGATGATGGAGCATCGACCACCAATGAATCCGTGTTTTTCTACAACTTTGACGTGGAACCCTTGTTGAGCCAGTCGTGCTGCAGTGGCAATCCCTCCGGCACCGGCACCTGGAACTATTAGTCTGGCCTTGATAGAGTGCTAATGGAGATGGAAAACATGAGGTTATAGAAGCCAAACTCACCAATAACGATCACGGTGGCCATCACCACAATTTGAAGGGTTTTGGTGGTTAGCCCTAAGTTAGGAAACGCAATCGCATTTCGCGCCACTCCCTCTCTCTCTTATGAGAGATGTGAACTGATATTCTAATATCTCTAAATATACGAAAGCCTCCACATCACGTATATGTATGACGTTATCATCACACATTGAAGCTTTCCAAAATCAAGATCCATGTGACGACGGCCGGACTCGCAACCTCTTGGCGTGACAACATGATCTGATTGTCCCATTTTAATTCACGGTGGCACAGTCAATATTTGAGCATTTCAAAAATCTCATTCAGTTTAAGCAACTCGACTAATTTAGTCAGTATAAACAGTCTGGTACTGTAGCTCTGCAAGGCCTTTGGCTTGCCATTTCCTTGGGCCCATATAAGTTTCCGTCACGATAGTATCCGAGTGAGCGAAATGAGAGGAAGTGCACCATAAGGTTCAAACTCTCATAAGGTGACAAGCCATTTTTAAGTTGAGCACAAAACTCAGTCAATAAAATTGTTGGCTCGGGCAACTAGGCTTCCGTCCGTAGATGAAGTGCGTGTAAACATAAAGTTTGTCTTTTCGTCTCCTTAAATTCTTTTTGAGCTTTCGAAAAAAAGTATACGACTTTGCTGCCAATATCCAAGATGCATTGTGAGGACTGGGGAATCGGGGCTTTATAAAGGTCACCTCCTAGCATGAGACGATAGATATGATGGAGCATGTCCATGCGGGCTTGCTCAGTCTCATCGTTCGGGAAAAGATATTCACCCTCCCGAAACCCATGATAGCGACGGCCATTCTTAAGCTGTTCTCAAACCTGTAGCTCGATATTGGGAGAAAATTCACTTGGAGTCAGGAATTCAGCAAAAACGGCCCATGCTTAGATTGATTGATAAAAGTACAGTTTCATCGCAGGCTCCACGGAGTTCCTGAATTAGAAATTCCCGACTCACGTACCATATTAATGGCATGGTTCAAGCGCTATTACTCCGACATATAGCGCCATATATATGGCGATATCGACTGAGTATGCGGTTACAGTCATAAGGATTCCCATCCTCCTTCACACGCAATTCACTATCACGTTGAATAAAGCCACAACGGCAAATTATGCTAGACTTGAGATACCTTTCAAGATGTCTTAACGACCATGGCATTCTATTAGTGGAATCGACATAGATACTGGCAGTGTTTACATGAGATATGCATTTCAGATTTATATACTCCGTGCTTAGTCAACTAGACCCAGTATAACATCGAAGAGTTTTCGATAGGAGAGTAAGAGTGGACGACGATCACTGAGTTCAAAAACTATCCATCAAACTATACGCTGCTCAATTGGGAAGGTGAGGCGACTCCCCCTGGGCAGGCAGGCGGTGTGGAATTTCTGCCGATGACTATCGATTGTTCTCCCTCGAGTCGCTCGAGTCTTGTGCATGCATCATCTTTCATGATATCTCGCATGTCACTCCATCATGTCTCGTTTACCTCCTGAAGATAACAGGTATCCGCCGGGTCCTTCTCACCGGCCCTATCCGCGCCGTGATGATAGGGACGGCCGCATGTACGACGACCGTTCGCGCTCGCGCTCGCCTGGCGGTATTACGCTCCTCCCCGCACGATAGCATAGGCGTGGATGCTTGAAGAAAAGCCGTACAGTTTCTCTCTCCGACTCGGCAACTGCTAACTGTATTCTCGGATCAAAAGATCTTCCACGCTCTCCCCCACGAGGGCCTGCCTCGGACAGAAGACCCGATTACTCCAGAGACCGCCCAGACTCCAGACCTCGTTACCGCAGTCGGGACCGTGATGAGTATCGACGACGCTCGTCTAGATCGCCTCCGCCCCGACGCGGGAGGCCGGCATATAGAGATCGCGACCGCGAGGGTTATCGCTCGCCTGGATACCACAGTCGCAGCAGAAGTCACAGTCGGAGTCGGAGTCGAAGCCCGCGACGAGGCCGTTACTACGGACAAGAAAGCAGAGAAGTGATGATGGATGGCTTGCCGGTGGATATGACGGAAGAAGACGTTGGATTACTCCTTCCCCCTGAGATTTCATTGCACGTGGAAGCTCAGAGCTGCGCTCCACAAAGCACTGTTTTGGTAACAAGAGGCTGAGATGTGCATGTCACCGGTGGTTCCGGTCGACATGTTGAACAGATTACGAATGAACTCAGAGACGGTTATCATATTGAAGGTCTTGAAGAAGTTCGGGTTATCCGTGATCGGCAGACTAGTAAGATTGATACTCCCTTGTCTAAAATTCACGGATGTCCTGACGGTTTGCAGAAATATCCCGACAGCTCGGCTTTCTCCGATTCCGAGATCTCAATTATTCGCGCGCTTTTCTTGAGCGCAACTTTCCATCCGTTTACTTCTACGGCCCAAGCGCTGGTCGGGATGACCGAGGAACCAAAGTCCGCATCGCATATAGCCGGGAGAGAGAGGATCGTGCTCGCGCCAGAGCTGAGGGGGATTGGACTTGCAAGAACGTGGGTAGCGTACTATACACTGCCAGAAACGCCGCTAACATATTTCTATGCAGTGTGCGATAGTCAATTACTCGACACGTTCAAAATGTTTCCGGTGTCAAGCCCCCCGACCTGGTATGTATCTTCGCCTCACCGACTATTATTATTTACTAACGAGCACAAGAACCTGGTCCAACGGGACCACCTGGAATCGCTGCTCCCAAAGTTGAAAATAATGGCGATAATGATGCTGCTCCTGAAAACCAGCCGTCCCAGTTTCTCTTGTTCCGAGGGCTCGAGCCCACCGTGACAGAAGAGCTTCTTGCCAAAGGAGTCGCTAAACTATACCGACCAGCTCCTAACAATTCTGAGAACACATCAGGAAACCAGAAGAAGGGGGCTAAAGTAGCTTCCACTACTGGTGATTCCAACCTGGGAGCTCGGGACGGGTCTATCCGCCGTGTGCTACTAGTAAGAGATCGCAAGAGCAACGAAAGCTGGCGTTATGGATTTGCGGAATTTGCGACTATCCAGGTAAGGAACTCCCCCTTCCCTTTCGGATACCCGTTCTTACGGGGCTCTTCAGGATGCTCAAGCGGCTGTTACACGACTGAACTCGTTTGAGAAGTTCACTATATCATCAAGGCCAGTGCTTGTGAGCTACATTCACGCCGGTGTATTTGTTCCCGTGATCAATCCCTCGGCGCGTACAGAGAGGTTCACCTTCAGCCCCCTGAATAACCCATCTTTAAAGCTTATGTACTGGGATGAGGAGGCCTATGTTAGAGAGCTCTCAGTGTCGACTGGCGACAGTGACAATAATCAAATGTTATTGAAGAACGACCAGCCTGATCAGTCAGAAAATCAGGCAAAGGCTCAGAAAGACACGGACAAGACGAAGAAGAGAAAGGCAGACAACTCGTCCACCGCCGGCGCCAAGAAGCTTGCGATGCCGTCACATCTACAATTTTGGAGCAATCGACATGCAGAGCTACATGGCATTCAGAAGAAGAACCCAGAAGATGTCGGAGGTGTCTCGGATCAAGGAGCATCGGCAATGGATCCTGGCGCTCCACCAGCCCAGTCCTATGCGGATCCCAACCGGAACTGCTGTTATCTCTGCATGCGCCAGTTCAAGAGCTCTGCGGAAGTCAACCGCCACGAACGACTCAGTCAGCTGCACCAGAGTAACTTGCAAAATGAAGAGCTGAAAACCAAGGCGATGGGGAAGCTTATCAAACATGGTATTGCTCAAACACCCGAGTACCGCGACCGTGCCAGGGAACGCCGACAGGCATTCGGCAGCTCCAAGGCTCCAGTCAAGAAGAGCGCGCCTCCGCCGAAGGAGGAAGAAGAGTCCCCAGTGGAGTCAACGTCGAAGGGCGCTTCTCTTCTCAGTAAAATGGGATGGTCTGCTGGAACAGGACTGGGTGCTCAGGGCACTGGCATGACTGCTCCTATTGCCACCGAGGTCTACGCGCAGGGTGTTGGTCTAGGAGCACAGGGAGGCAAATTGGGAGATGCAGTCGAAGAAGCAGGACGAAATACCCGCGGTAGATACGATGAATTCTTGGAAAAGACAAGGCAGACTGCACGGGAGCGATACGAACAAATGGAGAAATAGTTGTAATATCTTGTACAATAACCACAATGAAATTCATGACATCAAATTTTCCCAAGCGGATCGCCACCTGAAAGTCAAACACCTCTGCATAAGAAACAGCACATAAAATAACAAAACGCAATGATACAGCCAAACATCCAACCCAGGAAGCCGTAATAATACGTGAAAGCAATCAATCAATCAACATGAATCCTCCTCAAACATCGATCCGACTTGGCCGTAAACGAGCTCCGTGTATGCATCATCGTCACATTATCACTAATAACCCAATCGCCCTCTTCCCACGAATGCCAATAAGCAACACGACGATCATGAAGCAAAGAATCCAGCATATGGCATATTTCCGCGGAGTTGGGGACGTCCTGGATCGTGATGTATGTCGGGTCGAAGGCCGTTTTCTCTTGAGGCCAAGGCTCATGGTAGCGAAGACAGGGTCTGTTGTGAGCAAAGTGTGGAACGACGAGGGGTAAGTCGGTGATCTTGGCTTCATCGAAGGAAGTGGTTTTCACTGTCCAGGATAGTTTTGCGAGTTGTTCCAGCGTGTAGTTTTGAGGGAGGTAGTGCCAGATGAGGTGGGAGGCGCTGAAGAGAGTGAAGCCTGTGTCTTTCGGAGAGGGAGTCATGCCGGTGAAGAATTGGAACCTGAGATTAGACTTGGTTAGACGAGTTCATATTTTCTTCTGGCGGGATATATCGTGGAAGTGAAGATAGTAAGTAAGGATTTGGTTTCACTCACTTAGGCGGACAAGAAATAGTGACTTCTTTCCCATCAGCATTTATCTCCTTCTTAACTTTAAAAAGACCATCATAGTGGAATGGCATCCACTCGGCAGATAACACATTATTAAGTCCCTGAGATTCAGTACCGTGGTCTTTGACCTCAAGGATCAAGCCAAATTTCCAGGGCATAGGAGTTCCCATTTCCCCGGCCTTCTGGACAAACAGCTCTTTGTCACGGGTGTCGTTGAAACCGCGGAGAACCACGGGGGAGTTCTCCTGGACTAGTCCACGGAGCTTGAGCATGTCCAGATTAGTAACTGATGTATTAGTCTCTGTTGGCCGGATGATCAGGCCACAAGGGTATTGGGGCTCGATCTCCACAGACTCGGACCAGGTGTACAGGTCCGATTTGACGCGGTAGCACCATGGTCTTCCGTCCTTGTGTACTAGCTCTACGTCTTCGCGGTTATCGAATACCTCTCGCATGCCGTACTCGATTCGTCCGTCAACGGTGAAGCAGGGAGCAGAGTGCCAGGGCGTCACGGCATGGAGAGCCAAAGGCAACACTTTGATAGAAATCTTGGTGGATCCGGCGGATGGGTGAATCGATAGACGGATATGATCTGCGTAGTTCTTTCGGATTGCCTCTGCAAAAGCCTAGTGAGAAAATCAAAATCAGTCAGACTTGCTATATCCTTTTGATATGGTAGGACACGCGACCTACCTTGCCACGGACGATCATCTCCTTGGCGATCGATTCTAGCTTTTGCTTGTGGGAGCGTTTGGAAACACTTCCATCATCGATGAACGTGTGCTCCAGGTCCTTGGTGAGGAACTTAATGTAGCCTCGATAAGTTGCGCACACATCCTTGTCTTCTTTGATACTGGCAGCACAGTCATAGTCCAGGGGTGTGTAGTTCTCTACCAATCTCTGTCGAAAGGTTCCAGCAAGGCTCTCATATGTGGCTGCGTCAAGGGGCATATCTTCGTGGACGTGGAGGAGGTGCTGCAGTCTGATAAATTGGATATGTTTGTATTCCTGGTCGAGGACGAGTTGTCGAAGGGATTGTCCGTATGCGTAGACTTCTGAGTCGGGCACTCCTAGGAGGTCTAGTTTCGTCAGCCTTGATATAATCAAGGTAGAAAGTACTTTCTCAAGAATGCACTTACCATTGTATACAAGGCCATCAGATGCAATAGTTAATATAGCACCTGGCTCGTAGATATCTGTAATTGCCGCGCACAGGCCATTTAGGTGTGACAAGGCAGTCTCTTCTCCCTTATCTGGCAAGGCACCCAGTACCTTGCTCTCGCGATTTGGAGATTTGAAGGGAAAGGCCGGCAGAATCAATGGAATTGCCTGCTGCGCTTTCACTCGAGAATAGATGAGAGGGAGGAACTTTAGGGTTCCTTCATCGCTGCGATCCTGTACAGATTCGGGAACTGGTGCGCGATAACGATAGATGACGTTCAAGATTTCTGTTGCCTTTTGCAGTGCTTTTGCATCGAAGACAATAGACTCAACGGGAGATAATAACGAGAAGCTCGTCGGGGTCAATGGAGCCTGGACAGCTGTTGCGCTCATGTTGATGTGTTCTCTTGGGGAGTTTAAATGAAAATACGAAACCAGATGCTTAACCCGCACCTTCTTGAGGTGATCCCGACATCATGGTGCGTGATAGGTATATTTATACTGCTGCAAGGTGGTGGCCAGTTGGTCAATAGTAATTCGATGCATTAAATTGCAACTTGACTTCCACAATTAAAATGGATTTAGTCAACCCTTACCAATCAAATCGACTGGAGCAGCCATGCATGGAGCACGGACTGACGAATATCATATGATGATAAGGGTTCCTGCAGCCTTGTTCCCACCCAGTCAACGAGATTGCAGCGGTATTTTCCGCGCTGCTCAGGTAATCCAGTAGTGGCTAAACTAGATGAGTCCGGGGCTCGCACTAGGCATAGCTTTTGCAGCCTGAAGAGCTCTCCAAGCACTGCCGTCGACCGATTGGCTCCGAGATAGGCCCCACGCCCTAGTAGCTTTTACGGGTTCCGAGTTCAAGCATATCCCACTGTTAAATTCAGGGCCTCAAGTGGATATGCTCTATCCAGACATCATCTTGGGACCGGTTACTACAGATCAGCACCTCATGATCCCATTCCGACATTCCGAGTCGCTGCCGTATGATCGATGGGAACGGGATTTGAAACTGTTGCACCGCCTGCGAGATGTATGGATCCTGTAGTCGTAAAAGGCAGTATAGACGGTCTTGAGATCCAGAAGCATCAATGAAAATTTATTGAAGGGGTGTACCCCGGACCATGGTAGCAGTCCAGGCACCCATACCGTTTTGCCAAGCGGCAAAGGACTCGGGATTTGAGCCTTGGCATACTCCTAGTATACTCTTCGATGCATTAGATGAGCGATATAATCTTAAGTTGATGAGCTATATAGGGGCTATCGCGAACTGGGACGGACCTGTTTCAGTAGTAGCCAGCACGACATCAAGCTCCAGTGGATGATCATTACTATTATTGCCAGTAATTGGAACCCGGGATAGTCAATCTCCACAGTATTGGCTTTTTTTTTAGACCATACTAAGACACCAGCCGTAGGGGTGGCAAAGTCTTGGTTTAATATAAGCGATGACTAGGCGATGGGAGCCCGTCGGTCTCCAACCGGGACTAAACGCTCGGCTATTGTGTAGGGTAGTAATTAGTTATGAAGACATGTTCAACGGGAGTCTTTAGCGCGTAGTCTAACGTGACCGAGCCTAAACGCTAAGCTTTAGTGCCCGTCCAGCCCGCTCACCAAATGCAACCTGTACCTTTTTTACTCCACTTCAACTCTCGCCTGCAATTTCTGCATCAGACTTTTTTTGAGTCGGGACATATTTCCTGACCCCGAGTATCTACTCTCTACCCGAATGTGGTCTGTGGCACATCCCTGACAATTGATGTCTCATATTCTTCATGTTCACAAATTCTGCCCGATTCCGAATTATTCCAGGGTCCAGACAGCGTGGCCAAGTCTGCCAAGGAAGACTGATAAGATGAACTCAGCCTGGTCCAGATCCACCCGGTACCATCGATCCAGAGAACTGAAGCCGAACTGAGGTTTAATTACCTAATTAGACTTTAAATGAAACGAATCCCGGGTGATTTCTGCATTTGTCATCACAGGCTACATCTCATCAGATAAGGGAATCCACTAGCGGAATGCTCCCGCGGGCGAAGTCCTGCAGGAACGTGAGATGAGCTGATCCATGTGCTGCTCCGTTAGCTGGTTATGGCGCATAGTCTAATGCCGATGCCCAGCCCTGTGGATGTATGTATGTATGTCGTCGTGTTTCCCATTTCAGGAAAGATGAACAAATCTTGCGCATATCATACGATCCGTCTCGTTCCAGACTCTTGGGTGCGGTTCTTAAATCTTCTCAGTTTCCTTCTGCCTGAAGCGTACTCCATAGTACAATAATCTTCTAGTTCACAATGGAGAATATATCATCAGCATTCGACGTCGACCTGGTCATTGTCGGCGGCGGACCAACAGGTTTACTATCGGCCGTCCTTGCGAGATCCCAGGGGCTCTCAGTGTATATCATTGGTAAGTAGTTTCTATACACTCAATTGACATGTCAATGAATTCAAACCAAACATACTGACTAGATTATATCTCAGACGCCAAGAATGGTGCCTTAGAAGTCGGCCGTGCGGATGCCCTAAACGCCAGAACCCAACAATATCTCGAAGTGACGAAAACGTTATCCTTCCTTGAGCCCTTTGGCTTGAAATGCAACAGTGCGTTGAGTCTATCTCGAACAAAAAAAATTCAGTTTGGTTGACACCCATTATTAGCAAGCTCGACATTCGAAGGGGGACAGTTTACCTCTCAACAAAACAAATGGTGGACGTCGTTGAAACATACCCATCGTCCCAACTTCCTCATGATCGGCCAGTCACAAGTCGAGGAGACTCTACTACATCAACTTGACATCCCTGTCGACTATAATTCGCAGGTCAATGGGATCAAAGAGACCACGTCAGGTGTGGTAGTGACGACCGACAAAGGAAGAACGATAGCAGCCAAGTATGCGATTGCAGCAGATGGTGCGCGCTCATTTGTGCGTACCACACTTGGGATACCCTTTACTGGAACTAAGCCTGAAATGGTCTGGGCCGTTCTGGATACCTTTATTGAAACGGACTTCCCGGTCTGCCCTGAGATTATTACCTTCCAGAAGGATGGACAATCACGCGTTGCATGGATCCCTCGGTAAGTCGTCCTGCTGTTTGTTTCTAAAATTTGTGGATTGATCGTTGTCCTAACATTACATATAGAGAGCGTGGTATGAACCGCTTCTATATCCTACTCGACGGAGAAATCACACAGGAAAAAGCCGAAACCTCCATACGAGACCATATGGCTCCGCACAAGGTTGAGTTCAAGAAGACCGAGTGGTTTAGTACGTTTGAGAGTATGTAATGCGCGTCTTTTGCTTTGTGGATCGCAGGCATAAGTAGTAACGCAACATCTAGTCAAGGAGAGAGTAGCCAGCACTTTCATCTCTAAGGATGGAAAAGGTCGCATTTTGCTTGCTGGTGATGCCGCCCACGTCCACGCCGTCAATGGCGGTCAGGGTTTGAATACTGGTATCGCAGACGCATTCAACCTCATATGGCGGGTCGCCTTTGCGATCAAGGGACATGGGGGTTCTACACTACTGAAGAGTTACGATGAAGAGCGTCGTGCCACAGCCACGGCTGTCATTGACGTTGCTGCGAAGTTGGTGCGGACCACTGTCAAGACTGCTTTGGAGTATGTTGAAATCATTGAGAAGAATGCGGGCTATATTACAGGTAAGGTTATCATTCGCTTTGCTTCTCGCTTTTATTGTCATGGATCGATCCTAATTTCCAAATCTACAGGTATGGGAGTCTCCTACTCCTCTACTACCCCGCTGGTAGTAGACTCAAGCTACGGCGACTTTGTTGCTGGGAACCGTTGCCCTGATCTATGGGTTACCAAGCTTCCTGAGAGTTTGTCGCAAACCAATGCCGAAGAGTTCTCTCGAATCCGTCTATACGAGCTGTTTACGTATGGAAGATTCAAGGTTCTCTTCATTGGGAATGAGAAGCCTGCCTCTTTCGAACAGGCTATTGAACTGCAACAGAAAGCAGAAATATGGCATATCCATGACCAGGACGATCGCCTGACTACCCTTACCCATGAGTTCAGTGCAGAATGGGTGAAGAGCGACGAAGGCGCAGTTGTGGTTGTAAGACCAGACATGTATGTTGGTTACGTCGGGAAGGATTGGGTGCAATATCTGGATTCGGTATTTAGTTGATAGAGGGTTTAGACAATGAACATGCATGTTTTAGGGGTATTTATAGTATACGTAATAAACAACAAGGTAAGTCTAGTTCAATAGAGAGAGACTCTTTACTGCTTTTAAGGAATGCCAAAGCTAGGCCATTAGAACGAGCGTGGTTAGCTAGAGCTTGACCCTAACTGAAGTTGTCATTGCGATTATCAACCCAATTGTGACCCTACAGTCTTTAGCCACATACGAGGCTGTAATTCTAGTGAAGGGACCATGCCGTATCAAAAAGATAAAAGAAAAAAGAAAAACATACAACAGGAGGGATTCGCTGGTGGTCACCCACCCAACTACTAACCTCCCGGCGTGTGGCTTAAACGCGGATAGAAGTCGGGTGCCTGCCGCCGGGTGAGCCGCTCACCCCTCGGGGGTGATCGAGTCGCGCGGGCCGGCGCTGGTGTACGAACCCTGGAGTAACGAGACATCCGGCCCTCAGCTTCCATTTCTCGTGTATTTAGTGAACTGGAGCTGCTAGATTCGATGAACCTGACCTTCATATTTGTGTGGTTGAACACCAAAAATTCTGTACGCCGCGATCTCCGGCGCAGCACGAGGGGCTCATCTTAAAAGGCCTTGGACCAGAAAGACCCAAATATAACTTTACAATAAGGTCAGCGAACTTGCTTATTCCACTTTGTCTTACCCCCGGGTTCAAACCTTTCCCCCTGCTGAGAGGCGAAGAAATCCTTCTTGTTCAAAAATCTGGGGCTTAGTCTTGGTTGCCGTTATTGTTAACATTTGTTTGCTAACTACCAGATATATATATTGGCTTGTTGGCCTTATAGCCAGAAGTTACCCAGCGTTTCGGACGACCAAATCTAATTCTAATCTAACACCAAGTAGAGTATGCTAATTAGAGCTCATCTTCTCTAAGCTAATGACATACAATTCTTGTGGCTGTGTTTCGTAGGAACCACAGGCGTTTAGAATATAGTTGGGCCAACACTACTCGACGTTAGAAGCAGTGCAGAGGAACGGAGGGAAAATGGGCAGGTTACACTCTTCATTCCATGAAGGCAGGTGAGCCTTCGCGTAATGCTTTCGAAGTTCGCGGCTACCAGAGAATTCTTTGAGGCAGCCTTTCAATGGGCAAGCAATCCGGAGTTTTTTCGTCATCGTTGTAGGGCGAGAGACATAGCTCGTGTCGGAGACTCTGCGACGTGGCATTTTCATCTGCGGAGAAAGCTCACATCCTGGGAATGTACTGGGGGTTTTGAAGGATCCACTATTTAACTCCGCTGGCGAGGGTGGTGCGTTCGGCCAAGGCGCGAGATGGGAGCCGGGCGGGCTATTTGATGATCTAGATTAATGACGGGGGTCGGGTAGCGTCTCAATTTTCATAGGATCTATCTTAGAAGACATCATTGCCTTGTGAGCGCACTAATGAAGGAAGAGAAAGCTTGAATTCAAAGAAAAAGAGCACAGAAGGATCAGGAAGAGTGGATGCCAGGGGCGAGCCACTTAATTAGCCACTATGGCTGACGAGTCTTGGCCCATGCCTCATTATTTTCGTGATCCTTGAAACCAACTTCGCCAGTGCTCTTCATCTACTACCCCTAGGCCCACGCAAAGAATCCGAGGACGTCTTTTTCTTCTTTCTTAAGGATCTCACCCTACGCCTCGTCGGCTTTGTTAACCATAACAATGCGCTGGGTGGTGGTTATAGTCTTGTGGAACCTATACGGCTTGATTCTACGCTCAAAGAGCTCGTCGAGTTCCGCGGCAGTTCGACTAGTATAAAATCAGCTTCAGACTTATTAATATTAGAAGTAATGTTCGAATTAACATACCCAGATGTCTCGGGGGATTAGAAACCACATTGCCAAGGTAAATGGTGTACCTAGACCGACGAAGAGCCAACTGGTCTTGAGGCCCCAGTTCCACGGGTGCGCATTGAGCATGTAGGGTGTAAGGACGTTGAAAAGGATTGCAATGACACAGGTAGAAGCAGCAGCAAAACCAGCTGTATAAGGTCGTAATCTCTGGGAAGAGATTTCACCAATAAAACCCCAACCAGTAGCTCCATTAGCCACCAGGCCGATAAACTGCTGTGTCATAAGAGTCCAGCAGGAGATAATTGTTCGCAAGCCGTCGCGTCTCTTAAAGATGGCGTACCACTTCTCTTGCTTCTGCTCTTGGGCGATTGTATGTTCATGTTCAAGATTTGTTTGGATAAGCCCGATCTGGTGATCAAAGTCGAAACCGTATTACTCCGTCGGCAGCTCACCGGACGCGAAAGTGGCAGCCGAGGATTAAATTATTGAGCTGGTTACTGATGTTTTGTTTTCATGAATTATAAAAGTTTCAACAAACTCTCCTCAAACAGACGCAAAACTAGACATATAATCAGGGCTCAACTCTGCTAGTGCCAAAACTAGGCTGAAGCAGAGGTTTGCCGATTTTGCATCGATACTGCCGCTCTCCTCAAGTCCTCAGGCCCCTTCAGCACATTCTTCCGCAATCCGTCATAGTGAGCCATCTTCATCCATTCACCAAGTGACTTAATGCGGCCAGGATGGATTCTATTCAGGAGAGTGAAATCCCGTGGCTCAGCCCGACCCTCTCCCCAGTATCTCCACCAAACGGAGAAGTTTTGGCGCCATGTCATGGTTGAATCATCCCTGACAGCATCTGGCCCCGCGGCGAAGTTCGCTAAAGCACCAGGGAAAGGCTCGGCCAATGGTAGATATTCTTCCAAAGGCATATACTGGTGTACACCTTTTTTCCCTGTCACCTCGGTGAAGACCGCCGCTATATCCGCAAAGCTAACTTCATCTGTCGCGACTTTGAGATTCATCCCTGCAGACTCTGGCAGATTGTTGAAGAGCCAAAGAGAGTAATGTCCAATATCCTCCAGAGCTATGAGAGGTATTTTGCCAGTTTCTGAGCCATCGAAGTTGGTTATTAGCCATCGGTGACGGGCATATAAGGTAAGGTAAAGAGACATACTTGCAGGGTTGGCCCAGACAAATGTCCCATCAGGTTGCTGGGTAGGAACAAACATGCCGTCCCAAAGCATGTTCATATAAGGGCCGGTAGTAAGCACTGAGCTTTTCATTCCATCCTGTCCTTGAGCTAGGATATATTCTGCCACTCTGCCCTTGGCGTCATTATGTCCCCAGTGGAAATTCTCATCCCAGTTAGCATGCTTAAGGGCGAAGTCTGTGCAGGCGTACACGTAATGTTGCACCCCTTGATATCTCGCAATTTCATAAGCTCGACAACCGTAGAACAGCTCATTCTTTTCACCTAGGGTAAACCCATCCGTATTGACCCACGCCCCATAAACACCTTGGAAGGCTCTATGCAAATCTTCCTGATTATCCTGCCTGCCCTCAACCAGTGATACATGAGGAAGTTTTGCAATGTCCTGCGCGCGAGCGGACTTTGCATCTCGAGTGAGGACTCTTACGGAGAACTGGTTGCTCGAGGACAGGGCTATAAAAGTAAGTCAGCTCTCGGATCAAACAACAGGGAAGAAACTGTCTTAAAAGTACCTTTGACGACTGGTAAGCCTTGAGCGCCAGTGCCGCCGATGACGAGGACTTCTCTCATCTTTTTCCGTGTGGGGTGTTAGTAAATTTTAGGAAGTTCAGGTTATGAGAGAATTAAACCACATGAAGATCAGAGGGATACACAATGTACTTTATACTTGTTTTTCTTACTAACTGATTGATGGGCTGAGTTAAATATATTTCATCACCATAAATCTTGACGTCCGATTCATCCAACCCATCCAATCCTTTTTGCGGTATTCCACCCATCCTCGTCGCGTCGTGGCGGAAGCCTCTGCTGCCGTTCCCTGGACAATGATGCAGGTTAGCCAATTACAATGGATTATTCAATCCAGCCAGCTGATGGCATGAACATATGCTGCTGGTCTTGGTGGACGCTATTTCCATCCAGTCAATAATTGGTTGGCCAGCTGAAGAGACAAACGGAGTGGTTATTCATCTCATAATGAGCCTCGGATGCGGAGGGTTGTTGCTGCGCAATCATCATCTTATAATATTATAACCCTCCGCGGCGCATTCTCTGACGGCTCTTGGACATATCTCTCTGGACAGAACATGATGGCCCGTCGATCGCTAAATTCTAGCCCTATTAAGGTACCTCGGCGAGTAAATTGTAGGCCTAGAGGAGATACCATGTATCATGATAACTTTTAACCTGAAATTAACTCGGGTGGATGCCTCCGTCGGAGCGGGCGAACTTCAAAGATCCCTTTTCAAAAGCCCGCGATCACTAATCATTGTAGTTGATGATGCAAGGGCCGCCGAGGACTTGGCCGACAGGAATCGGCAACCACCAATCAGCGCCATCCGGAGGGTTTCCAGGATATGGACTTTCGGGCGTTCCCATCAAGGAGGGTTTCCGTCGCACGTAAGCGTGGAGCCAAGTCATGGTGGAGCAGGGACCGTGGGATCTCCAAGTTTTATGCTAAGTCTGGATTTGTAATACAGTTTTCTTGTCCAAGGGAATTAAATACCAGCTAGTCTGAATAATCAAAATTACTATATATTGGCTGATAATCGAAAGGGATATACTTTCAATATACCATTCTCTGTTTGTGACCCAGGAGCAAGTTTCAAAACTTCCGCTCGAGGGGGCTCTACTAAGGTACAATCTCTAGTTCAGTTGCCCAGTCTTTTACAATCCCAGGTCTGAGCCAATCAGTTTACACCAATCTAGGCTCTGACAGTATGATAGCCAAGGATGCGACGCTTGAACCCATTGAGGCTGCAGGACAGTATCAATGATTCCAGGCAGTATTCCAACTGCTGAACAATGCCGTATACCGACGCCTTTTCTCTATTATATATCTCAATTCCTTTAGTCCCTCGTGATCAATTATTATATTGTTGTTGTTGTAGAGTACCCAGATCCAGCAATCCTCCGGGAGTACTCAACACCAAGACAAAGATGCCAACAGAGAAGGCTGAGAATCAGAGCCCTACTCTGGCTGGTTATTGCTATGTCGTGTTTTGAGAGCTGGCAGAGAAGATTATTAGGCAACAATTCAACTGATTCTCGTCGATTGATCCGGTAGAGATGTTGTACGGATGACTCAATACTGCTTTTGTTTGGGGATGTACAAGATAGGTATAAGATCTATTAGAAATAATTGGCTTTATACAGAGTAAATTCCTTATTTGGGGCTTGATATTTTATTGATCAACCCGCGATTCACAACAATATATAATCGCGAAGAACTTAGGGAATCTAATTATATGATGTGGAGTAACTGTCCTCATATCCTTCCTACAGCTACTGACGGCTAACCGGACAGGGCTGCTATCTATGAGCTGGTAGCGTTCCTACTGTGGTAGCGAAGGCACTGCATATTCTCTGGGAGTGGACCCGATCATGTGGCTTTCTTCAGCCCTAGCTGGGACTCGTTAGTCTTGTGGCTTTCTGGGATCCGACTACTTATAATTATCAGGACGGGCTGATAACTGTCTCGGAGACTGGTTTCCTATTCTGTGTCTTCATTTCATCCAAAGGTTTAAGATCACCAAAAGGAAAATTGTAAGTGTACGATGGCGAGAACAATCACTCCCATAAGTGGCCCAGAAATCCCTTTGTTAGTGTTGTGACTCGCGGAATTTTGTACCCGGCGTGGGTCGAAAGGAGGCATGATGGTATACTCAGATATAAGTGGCTTGTCTGCAAGTACGAAGAGAAAATGAACAGACTGGGGTCTCTGTTCCGCAGAATAGGGCTTTGCTTTATATAAGGGCTTATAGTTTCTTGAACAAAGAATCCTTGCCGTATCAGCCAGTGTTCCGGTGAAAGGTATGTTTTTATCAATATACCTACCGGAATTTATGGCACAATGAATCTTAGTGCTATGTATTATTCTACGGGACTAATTTAGTTACGGGATTTAACTTTCAAGACTTGAAACTGGGTTTTGGCTGAGTTGAATGTATTCAAGTAATGCCCTTAGTATTTCCCGTGTGTGGAGTCGTTAGTTAGATGTCATTCAATCTCACCTTTACCAGGTCTCCAAAGCTTCCTGAAAACAGGACAAAACCGAGTACCAGATAAGATTACTGAACTTGATCGATACTGATTTAGTGTCTTTTTCGTAAAATACTTTATCCTTGTGGTAGTTGGCCGGATTCAATCCAAATTGAGGGCGGAAAATGATGCCCGAATAGCTTGTAATACAGAAATAAGATACCAGTTAGGGATATGAAGGCGGTTTTCTGGAGGGGAAATACAATATACAGGTACCCCCCAATTTTTTACTGTATTACTATTACTCGGCGCGTAGATTCTGGATCCTAACAAATCTGAATCTATCTTGATCTATAGTAGAGGCCATGTTCACGCAGTAGAGGTCGCATTCTAGGTCTTCTGATGATCTTTTTGCGAGTTACTTCGTGTGCTGCCACAGCTTTGTGATAATATCAAGATGCTTACCCTGGATATCGAATTAGTAATATGTTGAGAAGTCTTCCCTGTGAAACAATATGCTGATTTCGACAGGAATCAAAAACCAGGCCCGATACTCGCCCTGAAGCCGTTGCCCGCTTACGTTCTATGCGTGGAGATCCAAAGGTAGGTCTATCGATACTACTGTGCCTAGTAGATAACTGATACCGGATCGCAGACAATATCTTGCTTTAATTATGTCATGGAGGTGCTTTCTATATTTAACCCGGTAGAAGTATTCCGATTTCTTGAAGATGCTTGTAAAACTTCAAAGTCTGTTCAACCTTCCAAGTTTGGAGTGAGACCTCCTCTCTACAGCTCTATTATCTAAACCAAGATGAAGAACTCTTTGGGATTTATAGATACGGAGAGTTAGTTTCCAACTTATAACCCTCCCGTAAGTAAGCTGCTGACCGTGGAAATAAAATAGACTTAGGATTACCTCTCCTTGGAGACCGCTGGGATTATAACCTTGCAAGATCCGAAAATCTGGAATATTTGCAATACACGCCTTCGATTGTTCCTTACCTGGTGAGTGGATCTACCCTGTTGGATCCGGTAAATTGGTTTCCCTATGCTGGAGAAAAGCCTGAATATATTCTAAATAGAATTTACAACTCGGACGAATATATGCCTCTTTCAGGGCTGGTCAACGCTCCTTGTTCAGACCCCGTAGCGACTCCGGTGTCTGTAATATCTCCTCAATTTGTTTATTAGTCTTGCTGGTACAGCACTTACTCTCAAACTGCGCCACCTGAACTGTTGGGTTATGGAGGCTTAGACATGGCTAGAGTTGATATCGGGTCGGGTTCGGGGCGGGTTTTGGCTTTAGAACCCGAAACCCAGAGCGGGTTTTTCAAGGAAATATCTACTATTCAGGGTAGAAGACCTGTCAACTAGGTAAGGGTACGTAGGCAGAAAACTAAGCAGTAGATATCAGGCAGACAGAAGACTGATTCTTGCCTTCTTCTTCCATTAACATTAGGCTAACTTTATATCCAGAAGAAGCCCCTTGTTCTCCTAACAAGATAAGACTGACAAGGAGCTACTATACGCTATTGAAAAGTCAACGGATATGTGATCCGTCGTCGCCGTTCGGCCTCCGAGATGTGCATGCACAACGGGTAGGGTATACCATACAGTTATCATGCAGAGTCATTATCGGATCTGTAACAATATATATATATATATATATATATATATTCTGGATCTATATAGAATTCTAGAAAAAGGCCAGTGAATCTAGAATTCAATTATATTATACCAAGAAAAACTCTCTCAGAATTTCTGGGTTGGTAGAAGCAGCTTAGAAGGTATTGTGGTAGGTGTGATAATGATTATATTCCGAGCTATATATATACAGCAATAACAGAAGAACCGCCCAAGACGGCCCGGAAGACAGAACAAGATGTTATGGCAGACTAACTGAATAATAGTAACAGTTGGGGCGGGTGCAGCAGGGAACCCATTCCACTCTATCAGAGTCTATCAGAGGGGGGCGCGGCTGGCTTACAGGTACAACTCGCTTTCTGAATATGTTATATAAGGTGTATAGAAATACTCTAGTAGCAAGCTATTATATTGAAGCAGCCAATGAGCGATACGGGTACTTACGGTATATATAATAGCATCTGTATTAGACAAATACTAAACAATAAGAATTAATTAACTGTTGTTTATATTAAAGAAGTTATGGAAGCGTTCAGATAAAACGGGAGAATAAACTACATATAACAAGATATATAAAAAACATCAAACATACAACAGGAGGGATTCGCTGGTGGTCACCCACCCAACTACTAACCTCCCGGCGTGTGGCTTAAGTACGGCTGAGCGGACGGGAAGCCCTGTTCTCCACACCCTATGGTCGTATGTGATAGTATATTCTAAGTACTAAAATTATATCGTGAGACATGATTGTAGTTCAATTGAGATGGTTAGTCTCTGTCAGGAGGCAGAAGCAGTATCTCTCGCACCAAGACACCGATGAACCGCAAAGAAACTGTTCGAATATGTAAGGTAGTCCTCGATTTCCTTCGCGAACCTTTGCATATGCTTCATTCCAAAGGTCCTTTTTGAAACTTGCGTCCACGGATATGAGATCCAGAATCTTT